GTCGATGATGCTGGATGTTTTCTCGGATTGAGGTGCCTGCATCACAACCAAATACCCGTTTCCCAAGGCATAAGTTTATTTGATGGCGCTGTACTTTCAGCTCAGGCTGACCTCCCTAGCATACAAGCTTATTATATAGATAATGTATCCTCTGACAGTGTTATTATGAGTTCCTTGATGCCGTTCAACGTAGTGTTGACTTCCTCGTTCACTTCGTACAGCTCTTCCGTTTTGTCGTTAGAAGAATGCCATTCGCGTCCTTCAAAAATGCCCAGAAACGCTACTCACGGACTCATAAAGAGCGCTCTCAGGTAAAACACTCAAGCTTTCTAGCATCATTATCTGTAGCCGCAACATCGCAAACATTTAGGCCTTTTACCGAAGAAAAAGGATTTCATTCTAAAAGCCAGGTATGTATCATTCATGGGTTAAATTCAAACCATGTTTCAGGGAGAAAGAGAGGAAGGATAAAAAAATACGAGAGCTCCGAAGACAAGCACTCACGAAAAACACGGATGAATTCTATTTTAATATGTGTAACTCCACGTTTGATGTAAGTCACATGCTTGTGTCCATAAATTGACTGACCATCGTGAACTAAGACAGAACGTGGTCATATTCCGCTCAACGCAGAGACAAAGTATTCAGACGCCAAAATGAAGTCCTTATTGTCAATGAGCGTCGCTCAGCTCCAGCATGAACTTCAGAAAGAAGTCTCGAAAATCCGCCGTTTGGAATCGTCCACGAACGCACTGTATGGAGATCCCGACTTGCGGACTCGTCATACTCGACCCAAACACACGTTCTTCGCAGAGACAAGCTCCGAGGCACAAGACCTTCGAGCCAAAATCAAAGCGGGTGCATTCATCTCACCCGATACAAACACCACGAATGTGTCTATCTTGGAGGAACGTCAGGAAGCGTATGCTGAACTCCAGCAGCGTCTCCAGCGTGCTGAGACATTGAAGCTCATGCTGAAAAAGCGAGAGGCTAAGCAGTTGCTCGTGGTACGTCACCTATTGCCTTTTTTACCCTTCGCGATCGAGCACTACACACACGAACTCACACAGTTGTTGAGGAATACAAAACACCATTCGAACTGACTGCAGAATCCACAGCCTGTTTTTGTTCTCAGACATTCCGAATGTCAAAGCATTTAATCTTTAGTGTAACCTTGTAGCACTTTCCCCCTATGTCAGTCATAACCACTTACTGGGTTCCAAAACTTGTAAGCATTTTAGATATACAGAATCTCATTCACCGATTTGAACCTAAAAAGTAGTCTTCGGGAACTAGTGGTGCGATAAGGGGGACAGCACCAGCAACACTCAAAATTTTCGTACCATCCTTAATTCCCTTATTCCAAGTTGTATTCTATCCACCTCTAGGTTTTCGCCACCCCTAATCATTCTCCTCCCGGCATGCATGGCACATGGTGCGATCATCTTAGGTGGCACTGGTGAATGCGTCCCTTGAGTGAAGTACGTTCCACCTCACTGGATACCCTTTTTCAACCGAACAAATTCGAATTCACTGTTTCTAACTGATTCCAGCCATAGCTCTCAGATGCGGGCGACTTTTTATTTGTCACCGGAGCGAGATGGCCCAAGTGGTTAGGGCGCGAATTTACTGACCGGAAAGTCCGTGGTTCGAACCCGACCTCCGCCACTCGACTTCCCCTGTCTGGGCTTGGGCAACCCGGCAGTATCCCAGCCCTCGTGCAACCTTTGGGTGGCATGGCAGTTAGGCACCGGGAGAGTGCTACAGCTGAACGGGTACGAGTGATCAGGTCCTCCTCCCGAGGTGGCCAAGTCTCGCAACTGTACAACAATACAGCCTGCACTGTAGTCTGATACATGCGTCCTCTGACACCCAGTGATCAGTCTTTCTGGTGCCGTAAGGGATGCGAATTGGTAAACGCATTTCTGATTGATGCATTGACTTCGTTTGTCACACTACCGTCAGAGCTAATGCAACTTCCAAGATAAGTATGGCGTAACACAACTTCCAGTATCTCTCTCTTTGTATTTGTCTCTCTTTGTATTTCTAAACCTAGATTCAAATATTGTAGGTATCATTGAATGGCTCTGCAGGTGCCGAAGTTTTGCATAAACAGGTTTTCCAGGTTTTGTGGAACCATAACTTGGTGTGTTAATACTGGATAGACAATTTCGGTTAAAACAACCGTGCATCTTTCTTGTGGGTAAAAGTTGAGGACAAGAAGGCCAGTCAGAATGGTGTCACTAGCCCCGAGTTTACTTAGTCTCATCGCTTCAGACTGGTTCCATTTTGCGTCGGGTATCACCGACTTTTTGACGACGAATTTCGTACTTTTCTACGTAATGTTAACGATCATCTGGTGTATTACTGACGGATGACATGGTGGTTCTGTCCAAAGAAGTGTGCAAACATAGAGTTCAGTGGTTCGAACCCGCCCTCTGCCCCTCGATCTCCGCTGTGTAGGCTTGGGCAACTTAGCAGTATCCCAGTCCTTGTGCTTCCTTCTGGTGGCGTGGCAGTTAGGCACCGAAAGGGTGCTACAGCTGAACGATGCGATTTTTCAATATGCAGATTTGCACAGCTTTGTCCTGATTCGCCTACAGTTACGAGATGTCTCAGTTCACATGCCAAAACAAACAAACAAACGCTGATAAATCTTGTGAGCTGGGCTAATTGTTTATTCACCACTGCCACGGAAATACGGGAGAAAACCAGAGATGATAAAGAACTCTCACATGTGCTTAATTTCACTTCAAACGGATAGCTGAAGAATGTTGAAAAACCCTAAATGGGTTCTTTGGACGATCGTCATTGCTTGGTGTAAAAAGCGGATGTTTGCTATGGGGAACTCGAATCTGATTTGCTGTTTAGCCTCAAAAGTTCGGAAAATGCATCCCGATGATGCGATTTGTCATTACTTTGAATATTTCAAAAGAAGAAGGCTACACCCACGGGTTTTTCACCCAATCTGCAGAACAAAGTGAGGAGAAGGAGAATAAAGAGAACCGAACCCGAGCAGCTCTTCACAATACTCCGTTTTACAGGACAGTTTGGCAGCCAGGATTTCACATCGAATGCTTCCAAACTTCGACTTTGGTTCACCACATCCACCACTGACATTTCCTTACCGTGTTTCTTTTACGATTTCAGTGTGCACGTAGGTCGCACGGACCGCCATCCGTTTAAACGGATTTGAGAACTACTCTAAGCGGTTCTCTCTAGAAGGTGGCAAAGGTTACGTCCATAGGTCCATTTCGGTTCACCCGGTTGACACGAGACATGCGGTCCGTTTCGGGTCACTTGCCAACCGCCTTAAATCCTGCTAAAACTCGGGCTCCACGACTGAAACCGTTGAATCAGTTGAGATTTGCCTGGTCGTCTCCTGGCTTTGTGTCTTATTCCTCCTCCTCCTTGAGCTGACCTTCCTTATCCATTAGACAGTGATTCGCTTTTATTCTAGTGGCAGGAATCTCTGAAAATGCGTGCACTTTCCGAATGAAATCCCTCCTAATCTACGACTCTTCAAATTAAACCGTCCAGTAAATGGTAGTACATCTACAACCTGATGCTTCTGTGTGCCACATTCAATCTCATCTTTTTGCCGAAGAATATACATATATCAGGCAAATTGTTCGTTATACGTGCAACTGTTTGCTAACTACTCGTGTATATCCGTTTGGATACCCGTGCTTACTGGCTGAAACATAGCTTCTCAATAGGTTCGCCAACAGACCCGCCTCAGGTGGGCGATTCATATCTAAATTAGAGAAACCATACCCGATACGTGGTCTTTCGGTAATGGCGTGTAGATATTTTCGTGGCAAAGGGAGCCATCACTTAAACGGCTAGTAGTCCCCGGAGCAAGAGTAGCTGTAAAACAGTGAAGCTTCGGGAATTGGGTGAAAGTTATCTGCAGGCTCTACTCCGAGCGTAGCTGTACACTATGCCGGCATTTGAATGTTGCCTTTTCTCCTTTGGTCACAAACGTATCAAACCTGTCATCTTGCTTCGTGTCTCCTTCTTCCTTCCATGCTTCCTGGTGTTTACATGCAATCCCTTTTTTCGACATCCTCGTTCCACTTGAAACGTGACTGTTTGATATTAAATTTTGGAATGCGAAGTTCCATGTTTTTATTACCCACCAAATTTTTGAGTAGTCGTCATAGATTTGATCTTTCTGTTGCACTTAAGCGGTGAACAGGAGAAGGCCAAAGGGATCAAGAGAGTATAATTTGAACGACCAACTGCTTTCTAGGACGATAGACAACTGACCAAGGTACTCGTGAGTGGATAGAGTTAAACGAAAGAATAGGTTTGATTTAATGCAGGATCACCCAGTTTTTGAAAGTTTTCTGCCGAAAACCAAAGGTAACGGTTTTCGACTTGGCGCAACCTCCTCGTCCTAACCCGTGAACGGCTTTGAACTGGACACCTTTTCTTACTCCGGTATCTCCAGCGCTATTCTACCGTCAGTGTTAATAGTTTCCCCCGTTTGCACACGCTGATGTATGACCGCTCTTTAATCGCTGAGCTGTTTCTTCTGATATTGTCCCACACTCCTCTATCTTAGCAGGAAACGACACACTATCTTTTCTATACGATTTGCTCTAATCTTATTCGGTTCGGCAATTCCTATTGGTCGGTAACGAACCCTTTTGTTCGTTCACATTACAGCGGAATCCGAATCGGAAATACAAGGTTGTGGCCAAGGAAAGCAAATCATCCGCCCCTGTTTACCAGTTCGAGCCTGTCCGCGCACGCTAACCCACACTCCCGTTGAAAGAGGAACCATAACACTGTACATACATATTTTGAAAAGGAACGGGATGTGCTATCCTTTGAACGCATTCTTCTGAATTCTCATCTTTTGGGTAACCGATAACTACGGCTCTGCGGTACTTCTCGGATATATTGTTCTGATTTGATGCGAACACCAGGTGAACGCTCCACCGAACGGGGGTGAAGCCCACATAGGGAGTCTTTTTCAAAGCGTTATACTATTCACGCTACTCTCGAATTATCAGTAGCCACTCGGTAAAAGTGTACTTTTGACATGCTGCAGGCCGCAGCCGAAACTCCGATTGACCGGCATTTTAAGCGCGATACGTGGCTTTCTTGAAATCTTGAAAGGCCCTGGAAGATAGTGTATCTCTTCCATCCTTTGGCTTTGAGGCACTTCCTCGGATATATTGTTCCGATTTGATGCGAACACCAGGTGAATGGCATGTCCTCCATCTTGAGCGCTCCACCGAACGAAAGTGAAGCCCACATAGGGAGTCTTTTTCAAAGCGTTATACTATTCACGCTACTCTCGAATTATCAGTAGCCACTCGGTAAAAGTGTACTTTTGACATGCTGCAGGCCGCAGCCGAAACTCCGATTGACCGGCATTTTAAGCGCGATACGTGGCTTTCTTGAAATCTTGAAAGGCCCTGGAAGATAGTGTATCTCTTTGTTTAAAAGGTCACACAGTGTTCTTTCTTTATTCAGCGTTGTCATGTGCGTCTTAAGATTTACCTCAGTAACTGTACCAAGGTCTCAGACGCTTTTAACCACAGAGATGGTGCATGAACAAGGCATTTGGCTTCTCGGTTTCGTTGCCTCCCTTTATACAGCATCCTTGGACAAACACTGACGAAAGAATTTAAAACGTTTTCTTTTTAGCGCAAAATAAGTCCGACTATCACGAGGTTGCACCACATGGACTTTTGATAGCAAAATTCGATCGTTTCCTGGATAATGCCAAATTCCACTCGTTTTCAGTCGGACTGACTGCAGTTTGGTTTCCAACCAATGCACACAAAGGGACAATGCTAGGACGTCGGAGAAAAATATCCTGCCCAACGCTTTGGTCTTCTCTTCAATAGTTCTCTAATTTACTGTGACGGAGCATGAGTCAACAAGGTTCTTAAAGCTCTGAGTAGGCTCTTCTGTCTAGGATGGTTACTGTAGTCAATTCATTGAATTCTAACATTGATGAACGAAACAACAGCCGTCTGCTAAGGACCGGAAATGTCGTTTGTACCACATACCCGGCCAAGTTTGAAAGGCAAGGAACCTGAACGCCACTCAGCATGGCATCGGGAAATGATAAACGTGACTTGGGTGTGTGGTGCAATGAACCGTTAGACATCCGCAGAAGTGCAGACTCGATGCTGGTTGGTTCACCCGTCCCAATCAAAATAACACGCCGGTGCATTAGTTCGGCAAAATACGTTGCTGACTGTCATTACTTTAGCTCTACTCTGCGTGTATAACCCAGGAAGTAGATCACATTTCTCCGAGAAGCATGCGCAACTTACGAGAATACGTAAGATACATGTTTTGAAAACTTACAAGAGAGTGAACTTATCGAAATGAGTGACTGAAAGCGCGACGGTAGTGTGGGAAAACTTTAAGTTTCCCTGGGTTAATTTTTGAAACGAAATGTGACAAACGTACCTGCTCCTAAAATCCAGATGAAAGGAAATGACCCCGAGGACTACCTGTGCAACTGTGATACTACTGATGCGGAGGCATGCGAGTAGAAGGTTTTCTTCTTGTAAATTCGCTTTGAGTCTCTTGAAAAGGGAGATCTGTTGCGAAATTTGTGGAGTTGCTTTGTACCATTTGCTTGGATTTGAGCAACAGTCAATGGATATCCAAGAAAGTCCAGGGAGACGCTTTCAAGAGAAGACAGATGTTCAGTTTTTGTAAATAAGATGCATATGAGAGTTTTGCCTTCCTGTTCAATAGTCTGTAACTGTTCAGTTGGCATTTTCTAATAGACAACTCCACAGCGAAGGCCTTCTTCCTTTCATCTGTACGTTTAACCAACATCCCAACCACCGAAAGGATGGGCTGCTAACCTGAAAACGGTGGAGAGTCGCCCCGGTTGTTGATGGAACCATGTGCCGTGCTTACAAAATCAAGCGCACTGACGCAATATTGTCTACACAGGGTGGATGATCAGCTAATTTCACGCCGGAATTAGCAATCACAAGGCAAACATAAAGACACCACCAGGAAACGCAGATGAGCACCGATAGCTAACCAAAGATTCAGTAATGATGGTGCACGCGCTCAATCCAATAAATGCTAGTTTTGAAGCGGGGCTACGAACCACACCTCATCTATTGATAGTCTAGACGATGGAGTAGATAGAGAGCGTACAACTGGTGACTATGTGAAGAGCGATTTCCGACTAGTCAAACTAATACGTAGTTGTGTGCAATTGTCATCCACTTTTGCACCCTGACCAGTGGCCTTTATTAATCGGGTTTTATTGATCGGATGTGTTTTGTGTAAAAATTTGGGACCATTATCTGACTACTTGTGAGTAGTCACACTTCAAGCGAATTCTGCGCCAGCCTGAGTGGAACACTTGACCTTCGATAGTTTTCTTCCGCGTCCAAGCCACTGTCGTTTGAACTGTCCTCCTCGTGTTCTGGTGAGACCAAACCAAAGTGGGTAATGACTGGACGCGTTTTTCGTTCTTATCAGAGCTCATCATGAGTGCATATCCTCGGCCGTGTCGGAATTTCAACTTCGGACAGCTGACCTGCAAGGCCTGTTTCCGCTACTCCGCACGCAGAATGCAACAGGTTTCAAGCGTCCTTGGCGCCACCTGACTGGAAAGTCCCGACAGGCGGGTCAATCGATCCGTAGAACCGGGACAGCTACTGTGTTCGAAGCGTCGGTCAAACAAATCACGTCGCAACACCATCACCTGTTCAGATGTGAAAATTCGCTGCGTCCAGCATGCATTCGTGGAGTAGTGATAACATGCTCGCCTCACACGGCAGATGTGCGGAGTTGAAGCCCCGACACGGTTAAGGATATGCACTACTGACGAGCTCTATTAAGGGCGAACCTAAAGTCCAGCGCTTTCACTCTTTGGGTTGGACTCACCAAAATGACTCCGCTAGGGCGGGAGGATAACGTTTCGAATGAGAACATGAGAACGATGTGAACACACACTGCGCTAATCCCGCAACCGCCCTCCACAAAGCTTGCTTCGCTTCCTAATTGACCAGTCTGGGATTACTGCTGAAGATCCGCAGGCAGCCCACTATCGTTTTGGGGTTATCAGGTAAACATAATCCCCGAAATTTGAGGAAATTTCTCCTTGACTTGAACAGCAGCTTACCTGTGAGTTCAGTCCTTGTTCGCAGCAGAATCTATAGGAAGCCCTGTGTGCTTTGCATTCTATCAATATCTTGACTGCCAATGACTCCACCGAGTCTCCAGTTCTAATAATTTCAACATGCATGTGAGCCAGACCATTTACAACTGCTGATGGCTATCGTAGTTTGCTTCATTTCTGTTAGTTTCTACCCAGATTCTGCAAACTTAATTCTGAATAGTTTGGCTTCTTTTTCTCGCCCATTTTACCCACTGAAGTGGAGAGCTTGGTTCACACACATCGAAGCGAAACAAGCAGGACCTCGAATTTTACTGTCTAAGCCAACAACGTCTGATAGTCGCACCTGGGGTAATGGAAGTTTGATCACTTTAACTTTGGGATCCAACCTGGAGAATCCATTTAAGGTAGAGATGTTCTGTGTATGTTGCAGCTTTGAAACCAACCAGGTGTCCAATTCACAACACCGGAAGTCTCCCAATTCGGAAACGTTAGCGTTTTCTAGATATTGAAATGTGGACCAATGTGTCCATGATCACTGGAACGCTAGATGTTAACTGGAGTGGTTCAAAGGTACCCTGGTCAAATTGTGAAACTTTGTGCTGCAAAGTAGCACGAATCTTGTGTACGACGCTTGTAGCCACCCTTTCGCCACATAGATAGCTGTACAGGTCACCGACACTCGTTAGATCACGAGATCTGTTTTTTCTTACACTCACAAATCACGCCACAGAATCGTGACTAACTTGACTACACAGCTCACAGTCAAGCCCTTGATCCCAGGACTCGCCTTCTTTCGCTACACGTACAAATCACGACACAAAAATGACCCATCTAACATCGACCGCCTACCGACTGATAAGGTAGCAACAAGTCATGTGCTGACACCCACACACACGCAAACG